TGGGAACCATTACCCAGTTCATGGCTAACATAATTAGTAATTGTTTCTTCCATTTTTTTTATATGTGGCTAAAACCCCAATTCTTGGGGTGTGATCATGTGATTATTGGCTTAAATTATCTAATGAGTAGTGTTATTTATTGATTTAAATGCTTAATTGAAGTGGGTTTAATCAATAGATGTGTTTTAATCTATGAATTGTAGTTGCAAATGCTATTCTAATTTAGTGTAATGGGCTTGCTTGAGAAAGAGGTTTTAGAACCAAGGTTTTCGATTGAAGAATGTAGTTATTGGGTTTATGTGGGTTCAGCTCGAGAGAGTGAATTCTAAACTTGATTCTACCCATCTAACTCGAGAGAGAGTAGATAAATTAAGGTTTTGAGTTGTTTATATTATTGAGCTTGTCGAGGTTCGAGAGAACGAGCTTGAATTGTAATAGTTGTTCGAGAGAAAGCTATTGCATCTATAGTCTAGCCTACCTACTGAGATTTAGCAATTGTTAGTAAATTCCAATAACCCATATAGCGAAATTAGCCTATAATCGATCACATCCCCAAGAATTCCTCCCTACTTATTGGTTTCCCCTATTGTCAAAATTGTTTTAGTTGCTGCTAATTGACAAACCAATTCTCCCATCTGACATTTGTATCACTCTTTTGATTTATCTAAATATTTTCGATAATTTCTACTCCTACAATCGATTAGATCGCTTTATAACTTCATAACTGAATTCAAACTTGTACAGCTCCCTATGGATTCGATCCCAACTCATTTGTTGGATTTTATACTAGATTACGATCATCTACACCTAGTATTGGATGAGGTGTAGTTGAGCGTTTATCAGTAGCCATGGATGATTGTCGAACATCATTTTTATGGATGATTTTGGTTATCATATAAATTATTGTTGTATTCTTGTTTTAGTTTTTCATGTTTGATTACCATTGATATAAATCCATTATCTATTCTTGAACTCGAGAGAAGAATAGGTAGATAGAGCCATAGAATACAAGGAGCGTGATCTTTCTTGCATACCACTTGTTTAGATTTGTGTTTAGGATTGAGACTCAGACAAACATTGTGATTGGTTAAGAAACAAGATGAAAAATAAATGCTCTATAGTTGAGTTTTTCGATACCCACTCAACGGTGTAGTTAGGCGGTCAATTGGGGTAGGTGGTTAGAGGTCGAAAGATCATGATAATATTATCAACCCTCTAAATCAAGAATTTGATACCTATAAGAAATCCATGAAAGAGATGTGAAACATGAATCCTTAGCATGTTGCAGCCCTAAAATGGTCCCTTTTATTGTTTTAAAACTGAAATTGAAGTTGTCCATTGTTAATTACTTTCAAGTATTAAATAATTGCAATCATAATAGTAATAACAAACAAATACAGTAGTCCAACATCTCAAAAGATATAGATATACAAAAGGAGAGATGAAATATAAAATCTAATGAGAGATGGTGAGAGAGGGAGTGAGGGATGCAATCTAAAAGCACGTATGAATACAACAAATCTAGTCTCTTGAGACCTCAAAAATATAGAAATGCAGACAAATAGTGGTGGAAATACATATATATATATATATATATATATATATACTAAAAGTGGGAAGCCACAAAAGTAAAAGTTGAAATACTATTTTACCCCTATCTTATCAAAATGGTATAAAATATCTAAGCAATTAAATATTAAATAATAATTATATCATATTATTTTTTACTATATTAAATACTAAAAATGGAAAGGTATTAAAGACAAAAGTTGATCCTAATAATAATATTAATAGAAATAATTAATAATAATAAACCCTTAAAAATTGATTAACTAAACAAAACTGCACTAAAAGATTGAAGTAACTATACCCCTTCGGGGTGGCCCAGTGGTTTGAGCTTGGGACTTCCATGTTGGAGGTCTCAAGTTCGAAACCCCTTGCCAGCGAAAGCAAGGGGTTTGCCTTCTGGGTCGAGCTCGTCGCACCAGGCTTGCCTAGTGCGGTTTACCTCTCCTATGTGGTTTGCGAGCTATTGCATAGGAGCGGAGATTTTACCCTGTGCGCACCCAAAGGGTAGCGGCTGCGGGTTTCCCTTGTAATAAAAAAAAAAAAAAAGATTGTAGTAACTATAATGTGAAGTCCAACCATTTGCATGTTCATTTAATATGGGCTATGGCCATACAACTTCCACGTCTCTTTACTCCTTTATTTTTGTTTTGAATTGTATTAAAAAATTTATTTGTTATGTTTATAGAATGTATAGTTACAATTTGCACTTAAATATTTTAAAATCAATGATTGATTTGAGGCCAAAATATAATATTAACATTTGATGATTATCTTTGTCTTTCAATTTTTCATTTTGGGACTTTCCATTTATAATATACTAAGTCAAAAATTGAATTATTAAAATGTCCTTCAAAAGTTTATTAATATTTTTACCCCTTAATACTATAATATCTTTATGTTATTATTGTACCTAAAATTAAATATATGTTGCAAATTGTACGGTGAATTTATATTATTAAATTGTAGTAAGTTATTATTATTAAGAAGACAAAAAGAGCCTAATTGTATTGTTTAATTAATAATCCATGAGGAAATAGACTTAGGCATCATGGATGTACCTTTAATTCCTTACTACTAGCTAGAATCAATTGCATGTCTCTCCATTCTCCAATATATTTTTTGAGCTTTCTACTAAATTCTAGGCAAATTTTTGGCTTATAAATATTATGTGCATGAGGTAAAATTATTATTGACAAATACAAAAGCTAATTCGCTTTTTAGAGCTCAGGAAAAAAAAGAAACTGATTTCATCAATTACATTAAAATACTTAAGCATGGAAATCGTCGATTAAGGTAGAAGGTTATAGTGGAGTGTTCTCTTGCTTTCCTAAGGGTTTAGGCGTAGTGGTGTCTAACGTAGTAGTACTTTTATTCTTGTATTGTCTTGCTTTTGCTTTGTACCACCAATTGTTTTTATTATATTTCGATTATTGTACTTTTTTCTTCTTGTTGTTAATGTTTTCATTATAGTTGTTATATTGTATTATGTTCTCTTCACTGTCATTTTTTTGTTTTTCATATTTACTCTGATTTGCTCTACTCGACTCAAGTTGAGGGTCTTCTGAATTGAAGTAAGGTACACTCCCTAGAAGGATTTCACGACATATGTTATTATTATAAAAGAAATAGTTATAAAATCAGACAATAAATTTAAACGTTTGGGCTGAATTGATAAATGTACATCTATTTTGCTTTGTTAGCAAGTTTTGTCGAGAAATATGTTTATTCATCATGTTTGATCAGTTATCGATACTTTTTAAGATTTCTTTTGTCTTTAAATTTCAATTCTTTTAGTTAATTGAGTATTTAGAGGTATTTACATGTATTTACAGTAATCTAGAGCATGAAATTCAATCGACATATTTCTATATACTATTATGGGGCTATATGATATTGATTTTCTTCACGTATTTATTGTTAGATGGTAACTTTGTTTGTCCTCTTTTTTGAGTTTATTTCTATTTAGCAAATAAATATCTAAAGTTAAGAATTACAGTAAACACAATACAAGTTCAAATTTTATATTCACAAATTTTAAATGGTGTCTCCGTATCATAACGACAAATATTTTCTCAACGGACATAATTTTTAAAACACATTTTTGATTTATTATTTTGTTACACAAATATTATAATAAAATCTGAAAATATATATGCAACGCATGTTCCATGTAATTAGTATACATATGTGTGTGTGTGTGTTATGGTGTGTGAAGTAATGAATGTGATGTCAAGCATCGCTGGTAAATTTTCGTCTCTATTTTTGTCAGAAATAAGTATTATCTTATTCTGGAGAAAAATAAGATGCATACTTCGTTACACATAATTTGCAAATTGTAGGATTTGTCAGGGCAATTACTTCTCTCTCATGGTCTGTGCCTTTTGTTTTTCCTCTTTAAACTTGTAGCTTCCGAATTTCGATAACTTATTGATTCAATATTTATTTTCTATCTATAATCTATATGAATAACGTTTTTTTATTCTACTTTTTTATGTGTTTTTTCTCTATTAGACTTCACCAATCTAATTTTTATGAATTTTTTTTATCATTATCGTAAGTCTGTATTATTATTTGTCTCAAATTAGTCATTTGTGACTTTATTGAAAGTGTATTAACTACCAAACAAAGTTCAAAAATTACCGATAATAGCTTCAAAGGAATTGATTTACTGATGGTACCTTCGAAGGAATTGATTTTAAACATTACAATGTGCCCGTCATTTGGTGTTTCTTGATACACATTAAAAAATATTACTCACTTCACACGATTTGCACAAAATTTTAATTGTTTCAACGAATCTATAAAAATTTACATGGAACACACGTGCAACACACGTGTCCCGAGACTAGTATATATAATAAGTACAATCGTTTGATACCTCAAAATGTCGAAATACAATAGAGAAGGGTGAAAATATAAAATACAACAAGAGCAGATGAATATATATCGAGAAAGGTAGAAATACATCATATACAACTGTCTAACACCTTAAAAAAAAAAAATATATATATATAGAGAGAGAGTGAAAATACAAAATAGATTGGGAGAGGGGGCAAGGAGAGAGACAATTTAATTTAAAAGCAAGTATAAGTAGAAGAAATACAGTGGTGTGACACCTCACGATGTTTAAAAATAGAGAGAGAAAGTGATGGAAATTAAATAAATACTATATATATGGTTGTGAAATTGGAAATTACATTGCCCAATGTTGATTTATATGGTTGACGTGGAATGATGTGGTATGCCAAAACCCCTAGGAACACGCGCAACATCCTCCAAACACTCATTCAATTCAGTTTTTGATCATTTTGAAAAAAATGAAGAATTTTGGTTGAAATCTTGTGTTCAATGTAACGTTCACTCTGTTAATTTTGATATATCCATTCTATTTTCTAGAAATTAATTTGTTTGTGCAATGTATGCATGCGCAGATGGTAACGAGTGTAGGAGGTAGAACGGCATCGAGTCGAAGCTTGTCAATGACAAGCTTATCCTCCCATCCGAAAAAGAAAACAACAGTCAGTAATGCTGGAGGACTCCCTGTGTCTCCTCATCGGAAATCTCTATTCTCTTCTCGTTCGATGTGTGTTTTCTTTTCATTGCCTCATTACATATATATGTGCAACGTAATTTATTGGATGAGAACATAAATCTTTATTTTCATTAATTTGTATCGTAGCTACATTCTCATTTAGATGGTTGGATGTAGTATTGGTCCTACCATTGAACCATATATGTATATAATGTAGAATTTGCCTCTGGAGCTTGTAATTTTGGGAGCTGCTGATGCCATTGCTTCACGTTCGCCTATTAATAATTTTGGAAATGTCTGTCCCAAGATTGATTAAATTTCTGATGTATCCGTAAAAGATGTTACCTATTATAAATATAGCTTAAATGACAATTTAGAAATTATAAGCTTCGGCATTAAATGTATTGCAATTGCAAATTAGCTGATATTGTAGCCAGTAAGAGGGTCTATATCTGGATTTCATTGCCTTATTGAATACTTCAGATGGGTGGTATCATACGCTACTAGAAACAAAGGTTTTTTCGCAGGAAATTTGTGCTATAGAATATGATTTGCCCATTCATTTTTAAAATAACCAATTCCAGTGGAAAAACTGTGTGGTAGCAGATTCTCACTAAAATAGTGGGAAGCTTCCTAACTCTACCATATGAAATAATTACTATTTTTTCCTTTTCACAATATGCATGGGAATAACCACTTAAACATTTTTCAGTAGGAATTCAATGGGAAAATGGTGACTTTTAAGTAGTGATACTTCCATTAAGATTTTCCAAAGGACATGGAAAAGCTGCTTGAAATTGTATCGAACTTCATACACTAGCTGCATTAAATCACCAAAATTCAACACAGACTACATGTAATGTTTCTGCCGATTTGTGCAGTTGGTGAATGATAAAATTTTATTTTATTTTTTTGCCTTGCTTCTTCTGTTTTAGGGTTCTTTAGTCATTTAAGTATATTCACTTCTTTAGACCTAAGATGTTGATCAATCGAGCGAAAATCTCTTTTATGCAAGTCATAGCCAAGAGATTTCCTTGCTAGTAAATATACTTGATTTTCTAAAATCATATCGGATTACGTACTTGCTAACTTATATAACCATAGGCTCAGGTTTACTTGTGTATTACTTTTCAAATTAGATGATTGCTTCTCTCTGACATATGAAACAGGGGTTTGACTGGAGAGAGGACAGTGAAGAGACTCCGTCTTTCTAAAGCTCTAACAGTACCTGATTCTACAAGTATTTATGATGCTTGCCGCAAGATGGTTGCTCGCAGAGTTGATGCTTTATTGTTGACCGACTCGAATGCATTACTATGTGGTATATTGACGGATAAGGTTAAAACTCAATCATGCTTTTCACTCAGTAGACTCAAGTATAAGTTGATATAGTTGACTTACTCTTCCTTTGTGTAATCGTGTTTCTTTCTTCCCGAAGGATATAACAACCAGAGTTATTGCAAGTGAAGTCAATATTCAGGAAACACCTGTTTCAAAGGTTATGACAAAACATCCTGTTTTTGTGCTTTCAGACACACTTGCTGTAGAAGCATTGCAGAAAATGGTGCTAGGTTGGTGTATTTGAAATAACGAAATGTATTAATTTTTTACAACCTTATGCTACATCTCACTCGAGTATGGTTGGTTACTTACTCACTGCAGGAAAATTTAGACATTTGCCAGTTGTAGAAAATGGTGAGGTCATTGCTCTGCTTGATATAGCAAAATGTCTTTATGATGCTATCGCTCGCCTTGAAAGGGCAAGAGAAAAAGGAAAGGCAATTGTAGCTGCTGTTGAGGGAGTTGAAAAAAATTGGGGAGCATCTGTTTCTGGTTGGTTATCGAACATTTTGTCTTGTGTTACTGATGACTTTACCCGGTTCATGTGACTCATTGATGCTCATTGCAAGTGACATTTGTTAACCTTTTTTCAGGTTCTGATTCATTTATTGAAACCCTTCGGGAGAAAATGTTTCGGCCTTCACTCTCTACAATAATTTCTGAGAATCCAAAGTAGGTAATATCTTCACTTTTTATCTCCTAAAGAATATAACAGAAAATAGATTTTCTGCAAGTCACCAGCCATTTTTTACGGTGTTTCCAGAACTGTTACAGTTGAACCAAACGATACTGTTTTAGACGCAGCAAAAAAGATGTTTGAATCTCAAACAAGCTCGGCTATTGTGGCTGTTGATAAGAAACCACAAGGAATTTTAACGTGAGTATTCTCCCAATATTAACAAGCCAAACTATGTATAGTGTTGTAATGAATGGCATGCTAACCACCAAAAAGAGATTCCTCGCGGTCTCTGCAGTTCAAAGGACATACTGATGCGAGTCATAGCACAAGATCTTTCACCAGAGTCCATTCTTGTGGAGAGGGTATGTAGTTACTCTTGTATATCAGTCTTCTTACAATAATAGTTAATTCAAATCAAAGAAATTGACAACTTTTGTATTATTTCTTTACTACTTTTGTTTGGGTGTTAGAAGAAAACTTGATCCCTGAAAACTTTCATACTTAATGACTTACGTCATCCATCCAGGTAATGACTCCCAATCCTGAATGTGCTACAACAGATACATCTATTGTTGATGCTTTACATACAATGCATGACGGGAAATTTTTACACCTACCTGTAATTGATAAAGGTAGGCAGCATTGACCTTTCAGTGTACATTTTATAAGTGTTTATCATCTTTTCCTGATCTTATTACATTTGCTGCAGATGGAATTGTAGTTGCTGTGGTTGATGTGCTTCATATCACTCATGCAGCTGTAGCCACGGTAAGGCATGCAGCAGACACCCACGTTACTTTTTCGTGACAGATTCCAAGTGTTGTCGCTATGCATTTCTAGTATCTTTCAACGAGTTTAGAATCTCCAGAAAGTATCCACCTCATCATGTCTCACTACAAAAAAAGTGTGAATTACATGGGGATTTTTCTGGGGATTAGTATGAAAATTCGCAGGAAACTTATTTTCCTGCAAATTTTCATACTAATTCCCAGGAAAATCCCCATGTTATTCACAGTTTTCTTGTAGTGTCTCTACTTTAGCTAGCACTGAACGCACACGCACTTGCTCATGTAAATTTCTCAAGATCATGCACTCACAATTGGTCTTGTCTGGGAAAATGTTAACCAGTAGGGAATTACAGTGTGAGGAATTGTACCCTCAACAACAAGGTGGTAGTTTAGGTAGCCGACCAAATGATAAGGTACAATGATTCCCCTATTAAAATATAAGATTGCAGTTAGCTTCGTCTGGATTGTTTAGGCATATGACATGAATAAAATATTTATCACCTGTGTTGCTCCGACTCTTAAAAGATGTTGTGTGTGCGTAAAATCCTTCAAAAGTAGTCCACTATTGAAAAATCCAACATAGGTGCGACAACATTTCAGGAGAGTCCAAACAACACGACAAATAACCAAGTTTCTAAATAAGTAGTCCGTCCCTTCAGAGACGTTCCCTTAAGTTGGATATTTTTGTAAGAGAAGCATATAATTGAAAAATAGGAAAAAGAATTATGTTTTCCCTACGCGGAGTGCATCCGGAAAAGTCGCGCTCCAATTCAGATACCAGACACCGGGTGGAAAACCAAAATAAAGAAAGACTACGAGGACTTAGAGCCTTAATTACAGGTTCATATTAACCTAGTACCTTTGGCTAATATTTTGTTTGTCTATTCTGTCCGTCATATATAGGTTATCTGCCTCTTTGAAGCCTATGAGCGGACCAAAGTTAATGGAGTTCATTTCATATTTTGTTGAAATATATGTATAGAATTAAGCTTGGTTGAATGTTGTCTGCTGGAGGATATTACCAAAACTCTTGCTACTGATTATGGCCTTTCTGGATGTGGTGCTAGTATATATATATATATGTATATTCAACTGTCTTGTTTCTGTAACGGGCTAAATTATCATGTATGTTAGTTTCCCATATAAATATTGCTGAATATCGATTGTTTCTTAAGAAATGGAATTATGTCTACACACAACATATTATGTCTTCTTGTTACCGGCCAAGCTTTATATATTCGTTATCTACTGCTCACTAACTAGGTGGGAAATACTTCTGGAGTGAATAATGAAGTTGCAAATACTAGGATGCAAAAGTTTTGGGATTCAGCTATGGAATTGTGTCCAGATGATGAGGAAGAGACACGAAGGTTAGAAACTTCCTTTGGTATTATATCGGTGTTAATTACAAAATTTTATAGTTAACTCGAACACTCATTTATATGACATGATGTCAGCATTTCTTCCTTGAAATTGGCTTCTGAAGGGGCAGAGTTGAGAAGAAGTATTTCTTATCCTTCGTCAAGCCTGCCTAATACTTTTGCATTCAAGATTCAAGACAGAACAGGAAGCATGCACAGATTCAACTGCAGTATGTTATTTTCAATCTTAACAAGAACTTGTCATGTATATATGGCCTTGAAATATATACAAATCAGTAAAGGTGATGTTTTGAGTTGCATACTTATTCAGATATCGGGAGCATGAGAGATCTGATAACAGCAATTTTTCAAAGAGTGGGGGATGACATAAAGCGGAATAACCTTCCTCAAATTCTGGTGGGGATTGGTTGTAATTGTGCATGTGTTTCTCCTGACTTGATGATATAATCATTGGTAATATATACCCTGTTGCAGTATGAAGATGAAGACCATGACAAGGTTGTTCTAGCAACAGAAAGTGATCTCACAGCTGCAGTTGACCATGCAAGATGTGCAGGTTGGAAGGTATATATATATGGATCAAATTGAATATTCCTAAAATCACTACTCAGAGCTACATTTAATTAACATGATATGATGTAATGAGAGAAATGATGAACTTCAACAGGGATTAAGATTGCACTTAGACTATTCAGGAAAGCATGGGCGTAGGAAGGGTTCAAGCTCCAACAGTTTGGATACACAATCTGCATGGGCTTCAGCTTACAGTGCCGTAGCAGCTGGTGCTGCATTAGTCGCAGGTTTAGGCGTAATAGCATTCCTAAGGAGATCTACTAATTAACTGATTATTATTTCACAAATTAAAAACATTTCCCATCTCCTGTACATTTCACAAATACATTTCCCATCTGCTTTAGCTTTTTAATACATACCTGCACAAAAGTTTTATCATGGTAGAGGCACAACCAACAATTGTACTTTAGGGCTAGTTGTGAGCCAAAAGGTGGATGTCAGGGGTATTTTAGGGCCGATAGGTGGATAAAGGGTAATTTTGTACCAATTCAAATATTTGAGAGGCATTTTAGGCCCTTCTCCATTTTTTTATTATTAACATGCATAAAGTAATAATAAACAATGATAAAATTATTAAGTATGTCTCAAAATTACTTTACTGTGGAATTACAATCAAAATACCCCAAAAGGCCAGGTGATAAGGGTGTACATAGGTCACGTTGGTTTGAATTTTTCAAATACCATACCAAATTAATTGTGTCGGTGTCTAAATATATAGACCCAACCAAATCAATAAAAGTGGAATATTTCAACCTTGGATTCTTCACATTTTTTGTTAATTAAGTCTCCAAACATAACATATAAGTTGTACTTCAAATTTTTCCGTTGAATCATAGTAAGATACAATGAAAATATGAGATGAGTGATGACATTGTACTAAAACATTTAACAAAAATATAGTTAAATCGTATAATAAAACATTGATAATTAATATTTCATGTAACACCCCATAAGTTTTTAACATTTAAGATAGCAACTTTATATTTGACGACTGATTTATCGTATATCTTGTCAAGTGTCAACCATCATTGAGATGTCGGAAGAATAATGATAATTAGATGGTTATATCAAGGAATGACTATATAAAGTCACTTGAAATTCATAGACGGAAGTTAGAGGCTAAAGGGAGTCTTGAAACAAAAATCTCAAGTGACGAATTTACTATAAGAGTGTTTTGATATAATTTTTTTATGGGCTAACTTAGGATGAGAATATCTCCCAATATATAAGGATTTAGAATACCTATAGCATGTCAAATTAAGATCTTTGAGTCTAGATTACAAAATATCAAACTGTTTGTCAATATGACATTTGAGTAAAGAGTTATGACCATCTTATCGCTTGTTGTACGGGCAGTCGGGCACAACGGGCCGGGTTACATTTGGACGCCTTTTAAAGGGGCTTTTGGACTTCAAAAAGAGCATGCTCATATTTTCTCAAAGTATAAACATCCATCATCCATTGAATAGAGCTCCAAGACCTTTGAGGTAAGAAAACACCATCTTCTAACTTGATAGCCACAATAGTTCAATTCATTTTTCATTCTAGACCAACATTCAAAGACGAATGATCCCAAGGAAGAGACATTGTAATACCCTGCAAATCCTAGGCTAAGACTCAAACAATTCTTCATATGCATATAAATTTGAACCCTATAATTTCTAGTTGTACATAAGTGATAAAGTCAACTTTTTAGTGTCGGAAGAGCTTTCGAGATGTATTAAGGTCAAAGGAACCCTGTTAGGTCAAAGTTGAGTTGAAAGTTTCCATACAGATTGAGTTTCAATTTATGTTCTTACTTGGATCAATTTCAAACAAGCATATATCGTAGAATATAAAAAGTTGTGTGGCCTTTAACCTACCAAATCAAGGGTTTTTTTAGTCTTCTTTACAGCGCCTCCAATCACTCATTAATCCAACTTCTGAGTTAAATGTTATGCATATTTATTGAAGGACAGTCAGATTGGCCGTGCACAACGCATGCCTGGTCGCATGGGTGTGCCGCGTCAAGCCATTTTCAAGTGTACATGATGTTAAGTTACTCTATTTATTAAGTTATGTGTTGGTTCATTATGAAACTCATCTTGAAAGGCATAGTGTTTGGTTTTTCTCAAATTCTCTCCTCTCCTCCACCTCCAACATTAAAATATGTTACTCCCATGTATCTCAAGTGTTTCAAAATATTCTTAATTTCTAATCATAAATCTTGACAAGGTTCTCACATCAAATACTCCTCTTATCTCTAGCAAAATAAGAAACTCACTTCTAGAGTTCAAGACTAGGATTTCATCAAGACTAACATATATCAAAGAGATTATACCTACTTCCACATCAAGGTAATCATACTCTCATACTTTCTAATTGATTCTAATATATAATTGTGTATCCTAAGAAAGATTTACCATCAAACCCTAGGATCTAAGCGAACTCATCTCAAAGTTCAAGAAGGGACTTTAGGAATTCCTCTTCAACGTTTGAGTTTTAACAAGTGTCTGGACACGTGCAACGCATGTGTGTCCCATAATTTTTTTATAGATTTGTTAGAATGATTAATATTTCTATATAAACATGTGTGTGATGAGTAATAAATTGTAACAATTACAAATAAATCTTTTAAAGTACGACAAAAAAACACCAAATAATCAAGTGTATTTTAATGTTTCAAATCAGTTCCTTTTAAGCATCCAAGTACCGTAGATTTTTAACTTTGGGCAATAGTTAACAAACATCCAATAAAGTCATAAATGACTAATTTGGGTCCAAATAAAAGTACAGACAATAATAAAAAATTCATAAAATAATTAATTTAAAGAAGTCTAATAGAGACAGCACAAAAAATCAATAGAGAAGAAAAAATACAATATACAGAATATCCTCCGTAATACTTTAGTCATCCCACCAACAGGCAGACCGAAGGTCAACACAGATGGGGGAAGTAGAGATAACCCTGGGAGGAGTTCATACAGTTTCTGCCTAAGAGATGAGAAAGGAAATCTGATTTTTGCTCAAACACATGAGATTCACAAGACTACCAATACAGAAGCAGAGATAATGCCAATACTAGAAGCTACGAAATATTGTAAACGAATCAATCTTCACAATGTTATCATAGAAACAGATTCGTTAGGTAGTGCGTACATTATTCAGAAGCATTGAAAACCCCTGTGGGAGCTGCCAGATATGATAGAGGAAATACAAAAGTATATGGAGACTACTCATGCTCAGATAAAACACACGTTTAGAGAAGGTAACGGATTAGCAAATTTCCTAGCTAACCATGCTATGAACTATAAAGGTTTGATCCAATATACCACATTTCTAAAACTCCCAATACAAGTTAGGAAGATCCTAAACAATGATAAATCTCAGCTTCCAAATGTGAGAATTAAAACTAGAAGAAATAACCTGGTAAACAATTTGAGCACACAGACCCAATGACAAAACAATCGATAAATAATATGATACACTCGTGGTAGAAAGCAACACAACACGTAAGACCTCAGTACAAGTTCTCACAGATTCAGCTCAATCTTACCTAGATCTAGCAGAGACGATACAAATTTACTAGATGAATGCGGAAGCTTCGACCAAGTCCTTCAAGATACGTTGAATATCTTAGACAAAGGCTAGCAAAAACAATAGAAGGTCTGGAATCAAGTCAGAGTTATGGAGAAGCAATTGAAAGAAAATAATTCGAGCATCAAAAGAAGAAATTACCGTTTCTATGGAGAAGGAGGAACTGAAGAAGAAACACACATTTGAGCTCCCAAATTTCTTTTAGTTTACTTTCCTGAATGTTTTTAGTTGGATTGTGTAGGATATGACCTTTGGTCTTTTGTTTATTTGTTTTTTGCCTTAATTAATAAAATGGGCTTGACCCAACATAATTTAACTAAAAATAATAATAACAATTATGAATAGAAAAATAAATACACCATCATTACATAATTTTTCGACTGAAATCCACAAGGTACTTCTACATTTCAAGCTTCACAAGTTGATTAAGAAAGCATACAAATATCCCAACTTTTAAGTGTATATATATATATTTATATATCTAATTTAATTCTTCAAAATTAAAAATATATCTCTATTAAATGAACAAAATTAAATTCCATTAGATGTGGCTTCAATATAAATGTCATTACTTACATTTTTAACATCGATCTTTTCCCATTTCAACTTTTATTTGTTTGTTTTTCTTCTTATTTATCCTCTTTTAATTATAATTAAACGAATTAAATTCAATTGAATGAACCTTGTGGCAATATTCTTAAATGTCAATTATAACATTAATCTTTTCCCATTCTAGTTTTTATTTTTTTTCGTAATCTCAATATCTATCAATTATACAATTTCTTCTTATTCTCACCGCACTATATAAAGTAGACAAATATCAGTCACTTCATTACAGTGTTCCTATTCACAGAATGCTTTATCACCAAGATATATGGCATAATTTTGACATAACCTTAAACAACCAAGATCCTAATAAATAACATCTACCAACTATGCCACTCCAAATCATATACTCCCTTTCATAACAACCGCAGAGTGCCTACTACCATTGGAACTCCATTTAATCTTTGGAATATTTGGGAAACAAGGAGCAATAATCTTTTCAGAACCCAAACCCCCAACCATGTATCCAATGTTATTCCCTCCATCTCATTCCATGCGCTAGAATTCTATCACCTGGTATACACTCAACATCATAATCCTCCTACGCACATGTCACAATCCGATTCCTCGAGTCATGAAGACACCTACTATAATTCATATGTAGGTAAGTCAACATGTAACCCAGAATGATAAACAATGAGTATAAGGGTAGAAATAAGCGGAAACAAGAGCGGACACAAACTAAAACTATATACATAAAGATCCCTCCCAGAACCTGGAAGTCACAAGTATAGAGTTGTGCTAACAAAAGACTGCAAGTCCCAAAAGTCAACCTAAAACAAAGCTTATCTCAAAATAAAAAATAAAAACTAGTTATACAATTTATAAAAGGAGACAGACAAGTCTAGGATGCCAAGTGCTCACCCTCGGCTCTGATCCAAAAGTTGCTACTGGCACGAATGATCACCGTTGGTTGCTAGTACTAGGACCCACATCACGAAACAGATGCAGAGTGTACCATGAGTACCAAAAAAAAGGCACTCAATAGGAATCATAGGACGATTGACGACAAAGGTAAATACAATATGACAAGATAGAGTCCAGACACAACAAAGGTCCAAGCAGAATTCAATAAAAGCACAGGAGAGTACCAGAAGTAAAACTAAGAGCAACTAAACTAAATCTAACTGGACCCCATAAGCCCAAAAGGTACACTCATGCGCAAGTTTAAGTAAACCCGAACAAATCCCTGATAACGCTCAACTACGCTTTATCTGATTCTTAGTGTAGCCGGTCTCTAACAAGTATAAACCCAACTAAGATTTAGGGTTGATCCCACATGGAGTGATACGGTAAAGAATTCGATTACGAAGTAAAATGGTGTTCTAATCATTTGTAGATGTAGACTTTTTTGCAACAATAAAGTAAATGACAAGGTTTTGACAATTAATGTCAAATGAGGGGATTTGAGTGAACAATTAACAACTACAAATAACCGAGAGTAAACAAGTACAGAGGGTTTCTTGGGAGTGTGATAAATTGAATGCCAATTTCTCTAAATGGGTGATAATTATTTACTAAAAGTCGTTGAGCCTAGTGGGTAGGCTAGGCTTTGGGTGGAATATCCATTTCTCAATCAACTATTACGAATCAAGCGAGTTCTTTTGAACCTCAACAAGTACAACACATATTAATAACCCAATACCTTAATCAATCTATTTTTTCAAGCTAGATTTGTAGGATCACATTCACACCCACTTTCTCAAGCTAAATCTGTAACAACACAATAACTACAATAATCAACTAATAGTTTTAACTCTAATACTTCTTTCTTAAGCAAGCTTAGAGCATTATACTAGAACTTCTTTTGCAACTACAATTCATCAATTAAAATAAAAACTATTAATTAAACCCACTTCAAATCAACAACAAAATCAATAAATATTAACACCCATAAGCTAATTGAAACATTCAACTACATAATCACACCCCCAAGAATGGGGATTTTTAGCCAAACATAATAAAGAACAAGAAATCGTTACCAATTATGTTTTCCATCAGGTTGGGCAATAATCCACAAGTCTTCAAATGCTCAAATTGAAGCTAAAAATCAAACAAACCCTAAATCTCTACTAAAAAAGTGTCAAAACAATGTTTAGAATGTTGAATATCAAAAACCCAGAACTAGACAATGTGGAAACTCCTTTCTTCTTTTAAAAATTGCATTTATACGTTCCCAAAATTTCAGCATCGAAGTCACTCGGCGAAGTAAGTCGGGATTCGGCGACCTAGTCGGCGATGCGTTGAGCTCCCCCTTTTCATCGCCTTCTTTGCTTGGCCTTTCACCATCTCTTTTGTGTAACTTTAGGCGATCGAGATCGACTTCGCCGATCCTTTCGACGCGTCGCTGAACCACTAATTGTCTTGCCAAGTCAGTTTTGTCCATAGGCTAGCCTGCTGGAACTTTGGGTGAGCTAAAGGTCCACTCGGCGACTTTGGCGAGTACCATTGTTGCTTTCCGTCTACTTTTTCATCTTTTTTGCTCCTTTTTACCTCGTAGTGTCCTTGCCCTGCTTATTTGCCTTCATTACTGCAAATTAACATTTTATCATCAGTTATGAGCATAAAATAGGCATTGAGAACACTAAATCTTTGAACATTAAGCCCTAAATGAGCCGAAATCCCCGACTCATCAACACCCCAACTTAAACTTTAGCTTGTCCTCAAGTAAAACATAAGATCAATCAATTCAACAGAGATGTCTACAAATAGTTCTACTTGAGACTCAACATGAATGCACACGAGTTTCAACCTACCCATGCAATGTTCAATTATGCATTACAAGTAGGGGTGCGCATTGGTCGGTTCGGTTTGATTTTATGTGTTATTGGTAGGTTTATCGGTTTTCGGTTTGTAAATACGTCAAACCGATAACCAAACCAATAACATATTTCTTATCGGATTTTGCTTAATCGGTTTATGATACTTAATGGTTCGGTTTTCAGTTTAACCAATAAGAAAATACTCATATATATTGATATATAAATGATAAGAAAATTTTCATATAAACCATATGATTTTTTTCCAGCATTTGGCATGAAAGTAATAATCATAAAAGTAACAATCATTTTTCTTGCAAGTTTAGACACTAGAGTCTAGACACATTCAAGTTAGAAGTGTCCTTGCAATTATAGAATGAAACAAGATAAACTGAGATTAAAGTAATAGGGTTTGTAAAATGTTATATAATTAGGGTTTACTAGTCTAGGGATAAAATAGTAAATTTAGTAGAGGAAAAGAGGTAATAGGGTTTTAAGTAATACCGAGATTAAAGTAATAGGGTTTGTAAAATGTTATATAATTAGAGTTTACTGGTCTAGGATAAAATAGTAAATTTAGTGTAGTCTTATTGGGTTATCGATCTAACCATTAACAAAAATCATAAAACCGAAAACCGAAAACCTAACCTATAACCCAATAAATTTTTTTGCAAAACCGTTAGCCCAATAATCCAATATCAATAAACCATAGTGTTTTTCGGTTCGGTTATTGGTTAAATCGGTTTTTGCACACCCCTAATTACAAGTTTCAAACTGTGACTAGTCATCATCAAATAGAAGTCAAACTCACAATGCTTGCTTCAAATGCAAATTCAAGGTCAACAAAAATATTTGAATGCCCTGACATCAAAAATGATTCCATGGCCACACAAAGCTCATCAAAATTCAAGAATTAAGAAATCAAAATCAACTCTCACACTCTCAAAGATAAACACATGGATGATTCTACCCATAGGCTTGCCCGTATTTTCCAATTAACATGACATTCAGCTCAATCAAGATCACTAAGGTCTTTCAAGGATTGTAGCGGGGCTAAGGGTAAAGTTATGGTCATTTTGGCTTAGTGATTTCTTCCTTCATGAAGCATGACTTGCAATTCACTTCTTCTCATTTTCTTTAACTCTTTTTTATTTTCACAATCTACCCTAAGTTCTTTCAAGAATAGAGTTATTATATGACTCATTGGACACCTCTTTTCTTTTATTTATGCACAAATTGCATAGCAACATTCTTTTTCAATCTTCTTCTTCTTTTGTTTTTCTCTTCTTCTTTTCATTTTATATGGAGGGATTCCATCTTTTACAACACCATCCTTCAAGGGTGAATTTTCATAAACTTCTTGACTCTCCTTATTTTTCACCACACCCCGACTTAGGTTTTTGGCCTAAGTTGGCTATTCAAATGGACCAATGCTTCATGAAGGTTTTAGGTAGGGAGGAAAGAGGACAAATGTGTTCATGTTTCATCAAAAGAATAGGTTAGGCTCAAATGGTGCCAAACTAGGTTCACACTCTCACAAGGTGGTCAAAGGTATAATAGCCATTTGGTTCACTTTCTAAAATTTGTGCCTAAGATCATTTCTTTCATTCACCAATGTTAGTCAATTGGACCAACATGGCAAGTTCTAGGTATCACCAAGCACAAGTTTTAATGAAATCTCACCACACAAGGCATTCAACGCAATCATCGATCAAGACTCTACAAACTGAGCTCGCGTGTAACGATCATCACAAGACTCATTTCAACAATTTACTAGTCACAATGAAATGATAAGAGTTCACACATGACTTATGCAGCTCAAACTTGCCTCATTGGATTTGCACAAATATATCATTCAATCAAGAGCA